GTTTGTTATGTAACATGCTGTTGTAACTGCTTCTGCCCAGAAACGTCTAGTTAGACCAGCGTTAGAGAGCATGCACCTCGCTCTCTCTAGAAGTGTCTGATTCATGCGCTCCGCTACACCATTCTGTTGTGGTGTATCCCTGACTGTGCGGTGTCGAGCAATTCCCTCATCCTTGCAAAACACATCGAACTCAGATGAGCAGAATTCTAGACCATTATCAGTTCGCAGTCTCTTGATCTTCTTCCCAGTTTGATTCTCCATTAGCGTCTTCCACTGCCTGAAGTTCTTGAACGCTTCACTTTTATGCTTTATCATGATTACCCAAGTCATCCTTGAGTAATCATCGATTACCGACATAAAAAATCTGTGACCGCCCAAAGACTCAACGCGAGACGAACCCCAACAGTCTGAATGGATGTAATCCAGTGTTCCCTTTGTTCGGTGAACTGCCTTTGGAAACTTGCTGCGGTGTAGCTTTCCAAAAACACAATGCTCACAAAACTCAAGGCTTTTGATCTTGTGACCACCAAGATCTTCCTTTGACAGAATTTGCAGCCCTCTTTCACCCATGTGTCCAAGTCTCATATGCCATAACCTGTTCAAATCATCCTGGTGAACCACAGATGACGCAACAGCTACAGAACCAATGTCTGTTGAACCTTGCAAAAAGTACAAAGTTCCCCGTTTGACGCCCTTGAGAATCACATTTGAGCCCCTGCAGACATGTATAGCTCCACCTTCACCCTTGAAGCTAAATCCCTTACTGTCCAACAAGCTTAGGGATATCAGATTCTTCGTCATTAGTGGAACATGTCTGACGTCGTGCAATGTGCAGAATTTACCATCATGCGTCCGAATCTTGATCGAGCCTATTCCAACCGCCTTGCAGACCGAGCTGTTTGCCATAGACACATTTCCCCCGTCTATCTGCTCATAGGTTGAGAACCACTCTCTCCTTGGACATATATGGTAGGACGCCCCAGAGTCAAGAACCCACACATCAGCATGATGCGTGTGTTCGTCTGCAACCAAAGCAATGTCCTCTTCGGAATTGGTGCCATCTACCGCTACCGCAACAGATCCTCCAGGTTTCTGCTCCAGTTGTTGCTTTCTCTTCTTCGGGCATTCATTCTTCCAATGCCCTTTCTCCTTGCAGTAGTTACATAAATCATTTGCTTTCGGACCCTTGAAACCTGGCTTCTTGAATTTCTTCTTGCCCGGTTGTCCNTCCAGCGGCCTGATTGTCTATTCCTGCACCAGTCGCCTTATGGCGCAACTCCCTGGTATGGAGAGACGACCTGACCTCTTCCAGAGACACGGTATCTTTCCCAACGATGAAAGATTGTACGAAATTTTCATACGACAATGGTAGTGAAACCAACAAAATTAAGGCAGCATCTTCATCCTCTACCTTAACATCAATATTACGCAACTCCAAAAGAATTGTATTTAATTGATCCAGATGGTCTCTAAGAGGGGTACCTTCCTGCATTCGGAGACCGAACAGACGTTGCTTCAGAAGCAACTTGTTGGTTAAAGACTTTGTCATGTATAGACTTTCCAGCTTCAACCATAGACCAGCGGCAGTTTCTTCATCTGCAATCTCAGTGATGACATCATCTGCAAGACACAACATGATTGTCGAATGTGCCTTCTCCTCGAAAGCAGCCGACTCAACATCGTCAGCTCTAACGTCCTTTGATAATGGCGTCCACAAGCCTTGTTGCTTCAACAAAGCTCGCATCTTGATCTGCCATAGACTAAAACTATTCCTCCCTGTGAATTTGTCGGTCTTTACGTTCAAAGCAGACATCTTTCTCACCAGATTACAAACCTCGATTACCTGAGCTCCGATACCAGTTTGTTATGACGGATGTAAGAAAGATAACAAACAATAAAGAAACGAAAGAACAAACACACACAGATTTAACGTGGTTCACCAACAATATGTTGGCTACGTCCACCTAACAGAAGAGAGGAGAGCTTTTACTGATTAAGGAGAGAGATTACAGAGGGATTTTCTAGGTGACTGATCTATGCCTTACAAATGAACCTATTTATTGGAAAGATGGCAGCCAACTTGGCTGCCTAAATCCAGTGGGAACTGAGCAGTTCACAGCCCACAATACTGCTGTCATACAGCTGGCCCACCTCACCAACTAGCAACCCACTTGCCCAATTGTCTAGGCCTCCTTCCAGCCACTTTCCAGCTGGTTTCCAGCCACTTTCCAGACAGGTGCAGCCATTGTTGACTAGTCAAATAGGTTAGAATTCAAGGCATTCCAACAGTTCGCTGCCAGCAAAAGCCTAAAACCACATCAAACCTGCCCATTGCCCAATGGGATTCTGAACGGTTTGATGTTGATAGCCCCCCCCCCCCAGACTTCTTTCCGAATCCCCATTCCTTGAATACTCTCCCCTTTGGCCACTGTTACTCTTAGGTTGTTTCTCTTCACCTGCAGGCCCAACTTCATTACTAAAGATGTTGTGAATGCCACAGTTTGGGTTTCACTTGATTCCATTATTTTTTATGGCCCGAATGCGAAGTTGTTATGGGCTTGTGCAATCCATCGTGTAAAATAGTGTCTTGCTTCAATCTGCAAAACTTCCCTTCTGTGTTTCCTGTTTAGTTTTTTTACCTTTTTTCTGCAAAATACATCTGCAACACATACACCTTGATCTGTAACTTAATTACACTTGTGTCTTATTAAAAGGAATATGCAAGCGGGAACAAGGCGGACACAATTGAGGACATAATATGTATGGGTAATGGGCTCTCACAATTTGTAGGGGTGGTTAAAAATACCGACCCAACATTGTTCCAAACAGGACAGATATTATTTTTCAATACTTTTCCTATTTATTATGGAAGAAATTTAACTTAATCTTAGTCTCTTAATTACTTTATCACCAACTGAATTTATAATTTTTTTTATATAAAAATCAATTTGCAGTCTTGTTTTGTCTAAAATTACGACTAAATGATACATTTGTTGAGTAAGGATGCATAAATATTAGGCCCTGTTCTTTTGGGTTGGAAAAATTAACTTCAAACTCCTTCCAACTTTTTCCAGTTACTTCCAACTCCTTACAATTTCTTCCAACAATGACTTAAAAAAAAAGGTATTTATATATGATGAATATACAATAACATTAAATATCCAAATTCATGACATACCACCTCAAATATGAAGGATGAATTCTTTTTTATATCCAAAATTAGTTTTCTTACTTATTTATTTGGATGATCATTTAAATGAGTGACTTTTTAACACTATAATTCTTCCAACTCTTAGTTTCTTCCAACATCCAACTCTGAAATTCCAATCTAAAAGCAAAGGGCCTTAGCGCGCCAAACATTTATAATTTTGCTAATTGCTTTTTTAGAAAAAAAATATTTTTAACTCTCAAAGTGCTAAGGTATGCATTTCTTATGAAATGGAAATGATGGAATGATACGGAATGGTTTTAGTCGTAATATCTAGCCATGCCTAACTGTTTGACTAGTAATGGTATGGTACATGTTCTCTAAAAATACCAGACCTGTAACGGACTAAGCCCATTTTTAACAATTTGCGTCAAAGAGCCGCTTGGTCTCATGTTTATAATTTTCATTCTCCACATCATTTACACTTTGTGCTCACATTTGACTAGATTGTACATAATCTATCTCATGCTTTGGAAGTGGATGCAAGCTTGGCGAGATTGGATGAAAGATCACGCCACGTTTTGATTAATGAGGAGTCTGTATGTGATTCTTGTCATGCTCGCCTTGGAACCAAACTATTTGCTATGTACCCCGATGACACTATTGTTTGCTACAAGGTTAGCACTTTAGTTTAGTAATTCCAAGCCTTTTAATCATTAAAAATACAAAAAAGCTCAATTTCATTGATGCTTCATTTTGGGTTTTTCTGATTTGAGATTAAATCATTAACTGATACTCCCTCCATCCCAAATTAAATTGCATGTTCACTATTCATAGGGTCAAACTCGGTATCCCTATTTTCGTTAGTCATTTGATAAAATAGTAGTCATGTCACCACTAGTTTCATAGATCTTTTGATGTAGTTTTTAAATATGTAATTTTCATTTTTTAATTATACATCATTTGTCATATAAAATTATTTGAAAATAACTTTAGTCAAACATCGTAAACAGAAACAAGCGATTTAAATTGAGACAGATGGAGTACTTCCTTCTTTTCCTTTTTGGGACATCTAAATAACTTTGCACATTCCCTTTTCCATTTCTTTTGGAATTTCTCTCCTTCACATCAAGTTTAAGAAATCACTCCAAATAGAAGTAAAACATAGCATTTATCCTCAGACTAGGACTTTCATGTTTTTATCCCCAAAATAGGAGTTTGCACCGTGACATTATGGCACTGTAAGTGGCATCCCATTGTATTTTTTGGTATTATATATTAGTGTTATTGGCATTATACTCTTATTTTGAGGATAAAAGCATAGAACTATTTTGGTACTTTCTCCATGTTTTACTTTAGTCCTTTTCTCATCAACTTTTCCCTTTACTTTCCAAGCAATTCACCCGATTTATCTAATTATCCCTCATTAAATAACTCTACACAAATTTACGCTCCACTTTAATATTACTCTTAATCTGCATGCAAGTCAAACTGTGCAATGCATATAGAAACGGAGGGAGTATAAGTGGGTGGGGCTAAACTGCACTATACTATTTGTATTTCCACAGACTATTATAATTGGTAAATTGAGTGTCTCTGAAATGTGCAGTGCTTTCGCCGCAAAGGGGAATCCACTTCAGTGACCGGTCGCAATTTTAAGAAAGATAGTCTGTATAAGCCTGGTTGGTTGGTGACACGGTAACTGCATTGTTCAAATTGTGTGGTCGTCTTCCATTTCCGCTGTTCTGTGTCTACATCAATATGCTTCACAATATGCCGCAAAGGGCAATCCACTGATAGAATAATTCAGAGAGGATGAGACGGTTCACAATATGCTTCTCTTGAGCATTTGGTGTCCAAGCACACGCCAAGGTGAGGTCGCGTATTTATGTGTATTATACTGTATTAAAAATGACAGTCTGGCTGCCAAATGTTTTGGGTACTTGGGCAAAACCTGAAAAGGAGTTATTGTTTTGCATTGGTTAGTGTTTCAGTGTTTTCCTCTTGAGTTTCATTGTAGAAATTCATTGTGTTACAATGAGAGCTTTTGTATCTCTGGATATTGAAATTAGTATAGGTATGGTGGAAGCTATCTTTTGGAGTGAGATTTTACCCCTCAGATAAGAAAGAATATTTTGAGCTTCATCATGTGGAAAATAAGTCCAAAGTAACAACTTGACTCTAGCATGTATGTAGCACGGAGTAGTATGGGGTTTTGTTTGAAAACAAGAGCATGTTATATTTTCTTGCTCTATTTGTCTCATGAAAAGGTTCTATTTTATCTTTTCTATTCATCGAAAAAAGTTTCATTTCTCACTTTTGAAAATAATTTTGTGGTTTTAATAGTTTCTTTTTGCTCTGGAAGCATTTTATGAGGCCATGGGAATATATATGTTATATTGTATTTCTCTAAATTTAGATTTTTGTGAACTACAGACTGAACAATTCAGTAAAGAATCGATATATATTTATATACATCTTTCGTTTTGTTTCATGTTGCTTGTTTAGTATTCACATAGTCAAAGTTTAATTACTTTGTATACTCATTTTTGTTATTCATTCGTAAGAACATGAAACTCTTATATGTTAAAATTTGAATGTAGTTTCTAAACATATGAATTTTACAGAGTATTATATACACATCTAGTAAGAGTTTTTAGGCCCAACATATCCGGCCCGGGTTACTAGATTAGTGTGCCTAAGCTACACAAATCTAACGGGTTAGAGCACGTCGTAACGCATGATTAAGTGCGTGAACGGAGTCTGGCCTGAAACTGAGGTGCCCGGCTCCAACGAGGGCATTAGTTGGTAGCTAGGTCAAGTGACTCAAGTAGAGGGGAGAGGAGTATAATTAGGCAAATCACATCTCTTGATCTCATTACTACCTACAAGTTATTACCCTATAAATACTTTGCTCCTCCATGAAGATAAGATAATTCATTTGATCTACTGCTTAAGTACGATTCTACTTTGACCCTTGTTTTACATACAACCATTGAGTGGTGTGGAAGAGAAAATCGGATCGAATTGGAACCAAACGGATCAAATTAGTTCATAGTAATTATTCTTTCTTTAACTGAAGTCTTTCCTCCCTTCACCGAAATAGTTCTTGTTTTGAATTTTACAGGATTTATTTTTGTAATTTGAACCAAATCATCAAAAGTATCATTCCTGTCTTTAAAAGATTGTCACTGTTTGACTTTTGTGGTCAAATAATGACACTTTTTTTACAACAAATTAAAGATAGTTTAAAATTATTAAATATTATAAAAATTTAATATTTCAAAATTATATTTTAAAATAAATTCAATCTTGTTAAAGTTATATTTTAATTAAATACATTTTTTCCCATAATTCATGGTTAAAGGATGTCATAAAGAATCAAACTGTGGCAATCTTTTAGAGACAGAGATAATATAAAATAAGATGTAACTTAATTATATTATTACTCGTCTCAAAATGAAATATACACTTTAATTTCACGGAGTGGAAAAATCATATGAATATAAAATGAATGCTATACGATTAAAATTACTTTAGAAGTGAGAACTAATAGAAATCATTTAAAAAAGATTAAACTTTATTTTGAGACATCCAAATAAATTTATATTTCATATGTGAATGATCCACAACCTAGAACAATATCATTACTATATGAGCACGGGTACAAATCTAGTTATTTATGATAAAAAATGAAGTTAAAAAATAGAGTTGAAAATGAAGGTGATAGGATAGAAAGAAGGTAAATACTCTACTCGCATGATAGACCTTAGGTTTAAACCATTCTTTGTGGGCCTATAGATAAGAGTGATAAGACCATAAGCAAAGGTCTAGTTACCAAGATGAATATTTTCTTTATGTAAAAAAATAATATAAAAAATACTCTTGAATTGAGAAGATCTATTAAAAGTGTAGACTATGGATCCACCAAAGAAGCACTCTAGAAAGAAAATTTAATGTCATAGTAATGTTTTAAAGAACAGCAAATTCTTTCATAGATCTAAGGCTAGTGGACTTTCAAGTAATTAAATATTTTCTTAAAATTGAGATAAACATTTTTAGTTTTTTAAAGGAAACGTGAAAAGCTGTGTGGACCTTGAACCTATAATAGAAGTTCTCAAAAACTAGTTCATCTTCCCAAGGAGATTCAAAAATCTAGATACTCTCCTATGGGCTTTGATGAATAAAGCTAGGGTGCCTCCAAATGAATGACTCCATAGACATCCCAATGCATTGCACAGGCAGACACAGACGATTCAGTGCAAGACATGAGGGCGCCTATGGAGACATCTATTTGGGGACACCGTGGCACAACCCGAGCCTTAATTTGTAGCGGAGTAGTTTCCAGAGTTATATACTGTCTATAATGTGTATATGCTTGTACCTTCTAAGCTATGAGCTATGGGTCTTGTTTCTAGGGTTCTTTGTAACTTTAGCCTTGACCCAACGCATAATTTAGGTCTTGGATTTCCCCATGTCAAGAAAGAGGCCACACTACACTACTTACACCTAGACTATGCCAAGCCCCTAGACTCTTCAGTCGCTACGAATTGATCTCGTAAACATTTCACGGACATTTTGCTCGTCCCCATAAATTCCTTTCGGAAACCAACTTTGCAGTTAAGGGAAATGTGCAAAATCTATAAGACCGATTCGATCAATGTGATGCAACAGCTACCATTGTTACCTTTGAGTAAAAACATCAACAAAATTTTGTGAAATGTACTGTTGGTAAAGAACTGTAAGAAGCAACTGCTTCCACACCACCAAATGACTGTATGAATAATTCTCATGTCAGGCCTATCAGAGTCCATTTGTCCTTACTCTCCTTTTCGCCAATCTCTTTTGCAAATCTGCATCATAATGTGCAAATGCAGCATCCAAGGCCTGCCAAAAACACAAGCATATCACCATTAGCTCTGAGTTAGAAAACAGAAATTTATACACCACTATTTATTACCAAGCACAAAGGAGTTCCTAAATTGTCTGACTATTTACGAAATGAACTTTGATGGAGAATGTAGTGAAGTAAACTAAGAAGGGATTCTATAGAACCATACCACCTTGTCTTATTTTCCAAAATTGACCCGCACAAGGACAAATACACAGTCGGCTTTTATTTTGCTGGGTATACTATAATTCTATAACCACTTGAACCTACACTAGCAAAGAGAGGGTAAATGTATTGCCGACCTGAAGCATTGGCTGAACATGAAGGGAAACTTGATGTCTCAAATCTGACTGCACAGCTTCTTTGATCTCCTGCACCAGCACGTAAGAGAGTTATTAGGAAGCATTCATCATTTCAATTAAAATTATGCAGTATTATGTATACTGTTCAGAATCCAAACACAATGAGACCCATTCATATTTCTTTTGTTCTGTTCTCATATTTTCTACATTTATTACCTGTAGCTTCAGATATATCTTTGACATTGCATCCTTCACTTTGGTCGCCTGTAAACAAAAGGCAGTGTAATCCAATTCGGGGAAGAGGTAAGGGGTTTGATGGAAAGGAGGACCAACACAAAAAATCAATTACTCCATCTGTCCCTTCTTTTATCTTCTCACTTTCCTTTTTTGGATGTCTTTAATTAATCTTCTCACTCCCTTTTAAAGAAAGAATTGTTTGCTTCGCATCAATTTTATTTCCTTTGCAAAAATTTCAACCACACAATTTGACCTCTCTTAAACTCCATGTAAAAAGCAAATGGGAAGATCGAATAGGGACGGAGGGAGTACAAATTAAGGTAAATTTCCGAAAAGCATGTCAACTGACAGTCCTGTCCCAAAATATGATGCACAGGGATGACAAAGCTGTTATGGACGCCATTATGGGACGCACTTACCAACGTTGTTATGTGAAAGGAAGAGGCGAGCAGCACACATGTAGAGGTGAGCATGGGAACTGATTTGCAGATCAGGTTTATCAGTAATTTATATTTGTATTTCCTTATTCTACTTGAGTCTAGTCTTTAATTACTTTGGTAATTTAGCATTACTACTACGTTGTTTCCTGTTATGCAGATGATGAGGCTGTTATGGGCACTCTTATCGAGGCTTGATTCAGACCTTTTAAAAATGAGTTTTTGTAAGATCTAATTCAGTTTTGGTGAATAATGTTACTCCATCTGTCCCATAATTTTCTAATTGTTTACTTTTTTGTTGTCCCAAACATTTACAACTGTCTCCTTTCCAAGAAAGAATTGTGTGACTGATATTTTGTTTCTTTCCTTTCTAAATAAACATCAACCACACTTTTATTTTCTTAAAATGCAAGCCAAGTCGATCCGAGAAGAAAAATTACGAGACGGTGGAGTATATATTTAAAACCCACAAACAGTACTATTAAATACCACCTTCGTCCAATTATTTCTGGGACATGGTATAAGGGCACATAAATTAAGAAATGTAAAGTTGTGAGGTTGATATTGATGTGAGCCACACAATAAGGTATGCGACATAAATAGTGAGATGGACAAAAAAGGTAAAAGGGGGGCAAAAATAGTGTGGAGTTTAAAATTGACAAAAAAAGTGAGGCTAAGGAAGTATAAGAATGGAATACAAATAAATATTTATCACGGAGTAATATAATAGAAATAATTAAATACTGTCATATATATGAGAGGTACTTCAACACAGGATTAGTAACGGCAAGAACAACCTTTACTCATTCAACAGTTCATTACAAATAAACCGGTTTACCTTGGTATAAAAGTATCTGTCTGTGATTGGATAAGAGGACCAGAAGTGCTTCAATAGTTCCTGGATAGCTGTCCAGTGCTATAACAAACAATAAATACTCTTACACATCATCAATGCTATTAAATTAAACCAAAAGTATAAAACAAATTACTAACGTGTAATAGTTCATCCTTGGTTGTATTTGGCAACCTATCCAAAACGCTATCCTGAGGGGTATTTCCAAGATTATATTTCGTACTTGATATGTTCTGAGTTAACGCACTGAACACCTGCTTGAGAAAAAAGAAATAATTCTTTAATTTCTTTTAGCAATATCTTGAATACAGCAGGAAAAAACCAAAAAAGATATTTAATCTAACTCTTAATCATTAAAGGATATTTACAGTTAATATTTTGTGTTACGGTTACGATAAAGAATTACAAATATCCTTACATTTATGCCTTAAATGATAATAACGACCATTAAACGATATTTGAGAGTTGATACTCCTGCTTATTATACTCTCCAGACGATAACGAGCTTCCTTACATGAGCACCAAAAACTATTTCTCACACCACCTAATGAAGAAAAAAGATGCACCAATTTACCTTAAGAGAAGCTTCTGGGCTGATTATTGGCTCCAGTAATCCCTGTGAATGGATTTCTGAAATAAGTTTCTTCAAGGAGCTAAAAGCTTCTTCAGTGCTCACACTTAACTTATATCTTCTGTTACTAGCTACTGAATCCCCAAATGCCTTGATTGCATTAGCTTGTTGAGAATCAAAATAATCACGAGGATCCTAACTCAGAAAGAAAGCAATCATATTGCATATAAAATTTGACTAGAACATATGCATTTTAAAATTTTAATAAAATAAAGTTACCTTGATAGACAATGGAGCAACTGAGGGTTCTGGAGGTGCCTGAAGATCCTCAATCTCAGCCATTCTAGAAGCCCGTTTTGATCGCTCTTTGCCAAGGTTCTCGTCAGATTCTTCACCAACTAATTCAGATCGAAGGACAACATAAGCATATGATTTCTTATTAGGGTATGTTTAAATATGTAGAAATCAATAATATCTTAAATTAAATCTTACCCTCTTTACGTGTGCCAAGTGCTTCTGCTACAGCTTTTTGGTCACCTAACTCATCTATAATGAAAGGAAACCAAGGTAAATAAGATCAAAGTAATCAAACTGATGGTTTAATCATCTACACAACTATAAGGTAAAAACATGATACATTTCAGCTACTCGTCTATCCTCCAAATATAGACTCTAAGCCTCGCACCCCTCAGAATAATCAATCCTAAATTCCCATCCTCGGAAGAGATATTGCAGAGAGAGAAGGGATCATGCCCCTTCAGATTACG